TTAACCGCGGGTGGAGGGAGACGTGCACACACACACACACACGTAAATCCGTTCACTCGTCGGCCGACTTGGTGGCAACGTGACGCGACGCCTCGCCGCCGTCCGCCCGACCGCGGGACAGCCTTCGCCGCCGTCGCGCGCGTATATAAGTTCGGCGGCAACGTCACCAAGTCACCAATCGACCATGTGGACGTTCGCCGTGTGCGCTTTGGCCTGCGGTCTGGCACGGGTGTCGGCGGCCGCCGCCGTCCGGGAAACAGGTACGTTGCCCAGCTGCTCCGCGTTTCGGCACCGTTTTCGGTCCCGTTCGGTTCGCGCGCGGTACCGTGGCGTCGCGAGGATGCGCGTGAGAGACGCGAACGAGTCGAAAAGGTACACGCGCTTATCGTTTGGTCCGAGAGGACGTGTGTGTGTGTGTGTGTATGTGTGTATGTGTGTGCGTGCGTGTGTGTGTGTGTGTGTGTGTGTGTGTGTGTGTGTGTGTGTGTACGGAGTTAGGTCAGGACCCGGTCGAAGGGTCCCCCGTTCGCCGCACGGTGAGCAGGTGGTCTTCAATCGCCATCCACTTGTCTTACGGGTCACGTCTTTCGCGAAGCCCGTACTATGGCTTCGGTGTTGACCGTTAAAAAAAAAAAAAAACCTCGCTTAACGTAAACCGTTGTAGCGGAACCGAGTAGATTAACATTTATATTTTTCTGGTTATCTAGGTAATATTTAATTTTTATTGTAAATAATTGTACACAGATTATCTTGATATTTGTTCTCGAGTGTACGCAAAAGGAGTGTTCGTTCTTATCTTCTACGAACGGTACGGTTTCGGGTTTATTCGGAAATTATTTTCACATGACGTGGTTTCAATATGTATGAATGTGACATTTTTAAATTTAAAACAGAAGATCTTAAAACATACGCGACCCGAAATTGGGTTACGATCCTCCGGTTGAAGACCACTGATGTAGACTGTTGGAGGGTTAGTTCGTGGACTTGCGTGAAAATTTGCGGAAATCAACGTTTTACCGCAACAAATTGTACTATAAAATGTTCGTAGTTATGTTTTTTTATTCGATACGATCGCTTTGTTTTCATCGCACATTTCCCATGACACGATGAAACTGTATGAACGTGGGTTGTAGACGGCTAGAACCTCGCTTTTCTGTTGCCTATTCGTTAGAACCTGTCGACCATCGGACCCTTCACACGACAGAAATCCGTCTCGGGCTGAAATTTTAATTTGTTCCTGTCACCGTTTAATGAATATATTATAATGAGGAAATATCGTTTTTTATTTATATTCTCTTTATCTCGATATTCACATGCCTTAAGAACAATTTTTAAAGATATAATAATACTATTACGTAAATAAATTTACAATATCTATATACGAACATAAATATGTATGCAAGAGCTTAATAATCTTACGGTTCAAATTATATGAGTTTTAAGACGATTTCTTTAATAACGACGAATGGGTTATTTTTATAAAACTTATAAAAAATAATTCCAAACCGCAATACGTTGTAAATTATTTGTGAACTAAAACGATAAAAATTGCCTGTAAAATCTGTAATGACTATAAATTAAAATAAATGAAATATCAATTAATTGTAATTGTTTTTAGTCGGTTTTTTTGCATTATATGTGATCTCCATTACGAATTTACGGTTTTCAAACCTCTATATTTCTAGATATATACAGATAATTTTAATTGTATTTATAATTGTATAATGGTTTTTAATTTTTTCCAAAATATAATTCAAGGTTATAATAAATTTGGTCCACTGTACTATATTAAATTGAATAAAGTAAATAATTAATGTTAACATTTTGAATAAAAATATTTTAAATATTGTAAAAAAATTGAAATTTTTAACTCTTAAAAAGTTATGGTATTTAGATTTGATTTATTTAGTGTTTTCATTGTATTTTTTTTCTAAATAACATTAATTTAAATAGATCTTTATGAAATTAAAAAAAAAAAAAAAAACAGTTTTGCAGTAAATATAACGAATGTATAGATTTAGAATGTGGTGTGGCTTAGTTTACGTATTTCTTGAAATAGGTTGAACTTGACTTTGTAATCATGATTTTTTTCATTAGAAATTTACATAAAAGTATAATATTAATGACCGACATTATAAAGATATATGTAATATATAATAAATTATGCTCGTCACATTGTGTACATGTCACGGTAACAAGCGTTCATTGTTTTGAATTTGGTCTCTCGTAAACAACGCGAAAAACACTAATGTCAATAATAAATCATAATAATATACACAAGGTAGAAATAACTGCATAAATCTATGTGTATAATTTTTGTTAATAACTGATGTTAAAAAATTAAAATACATTTGAAAAGTTTTGTTAATTTGATACATCCTAAAAATATTAGCAGTACAATTTTTATAAACGGTGAATGAGTTTATAAATTGTGTTTAACTCGATTATCGAAACTCGCATCCGAATTACAAGGACTCTAGCGTGTACTCGTATATTAAATCAATCGGTGTTTTGAATCGTTTTTGTAATTGAAAAGGTGTTTATGATCCTAAATTTTTAAGATGTCTCATCATGTCGAAACCCGTGCCGAAGAGATACTTCACGTATTTTTCTCACAAAAGTTTACGTACTAATCGCTCAGCTATAATCGGTGTCGACATTTAGATATATTCCTACACCGAATGGGAAACAATTAATCGGTAATTTAGCATGGTCCTATGCGATACTAGTTGGATTTTTCGAGAAACGCGATCGTCAACATGATTCCTATGCATACGGGATCTTATATTTGATATTTAACGACCATGTAAAATCTGAGACGAATATATTAAAATTGATTATACATTTCATCTGCGTCAGGCTGCGCTAGGCCGATCTGCGATTCGCGAGTAGTAATCTGAACTGTAGAAATAATAGCTCGGAATCAAAACAATGTATTATGGTGAGATTCAATTTGTAAAGTTTGAAACGGTTGAATGAATGTTATAGTAAAAATACTTAACTGTACATAATGTCGGTATTAAGGGTCGTTAAGGAAGATTATGAAAAGGTAAAGAAAAGGAAAAATATGTTAAGGTTTACTACACCTTGTGTATATTAGTGTTATACAGTGCTCTATATACAGCCCGTAGCAACGTCGTTATAGTATTTCGATATTTGGTTTTGAATATAGTAAAGAATAAATAAAGAAATCAATCCTCTAATGGCTCACTTAATTAATTAATTAAATTAATTATTAATTTAATTAATATTAACTTATTTAAGTTAAATAACGTTATATTCATAAAAAATAAATAACTGCTCACTCTCAAATTCATAATTTTAGTGAGGTACAATTTTTTCCATCAAAACCATTCGAGATGAAAGTGAATGTTGATTTAAAATTATAAATGTTTGTAGAATTATAAATTACGTTCTAACAAAAGGTGCTTTTTTTAAATACTTCAATTGTAATTGATAATGAAGCGGAATTCGAGAAAACACTTTCTGTTTAGTATTATTGCTCACATTTCTGCAATTATTTGCAAAATAAGCCGATCGTGGTCCATGGATTCGATTTTAAGGTTGAGCACACCTAGTCTGTGTGCCCACTAAACGCAATTGTAAATGTAAACAATTAATCGTCTCGCTATTGCCTATGTCCAATTTACCAGTAAGCTTCGATACTTGTACTCATAATTATTATATCATAACGATAGTTCTCCATCATTTTATGGCCCTTACATCATTATATTATGTTTATGTAGGGTTTACATAGTTCAACTTTTTCATCTATTCCGGTTAACGATTAATTTTTTTTAACACTTGTAAACGGTTCTTGATTAAATCGTCTCCGTAATAATAATAATGAATATTACACAATATGAAACGAATCCTATTTTAAAATATACAAAACGTTATAAACGAGTCCACTCTATAGCTGTATGGCCGTATACCTCTTCCGTTGTACGTTTCCCACGTATTGATTTATTTCGTATATTACAATAGTTTTTATTACGTTTGGCTGTTTGGAATAACGATATTTTCGGTGACGATGAAAGAATATTTTGGAAGCTACTGTTATTGTTAGTAAATTTGCATAGTGACGTTTACGATGCAAATTAATCATAGCTAATATGATTGTAAAAGAAATATTTATGTAAAATAATAGTATTTTCATTGTTTTCGCCGTAATAGATAATAGCGAAACGATTTGTATAATTACAGTCCAAATGTCAGTTCTCGAAGTAATAAAATATATTATTTTAAAATTGCGATTGTAATGTAAAATCAATTTGTTTGAGATTTAGGTTATTAAAGCGATTAATTGATACGTATTGATTTTGTTGATTTAGAGTGTAAAATACTAATTAATTATAATATATTAACATAATAATTTTACACTACTTTCGATAGAGGTGACTATTTTATATTGTGCTTTAATATTTTCACCACGCGTCGAGTCGTATGCATAAATTGGAAGAGCTTCTAAAATGTCTCAAGTAAAAATGTAAAGTGAGATTTTTCTCTTGTTTTACTTGAAACGTATACACGAACATGAAAAAATGCAAATATAATGTAATTAGATTCCTGTGCTATAAATTCATAGCTTTGCGTAATAACATTCTAAAATTGTGCATAAGTCATTAACGCTGCCCGGGCCCCTAATTACTATCTACAGACCTTTATGTAATTATTTACGTATTCTTTTTTTTTTGTACAACTATTCTTACACGTTTTACTTAACATTTTTTTTTTCGTTCTCGTCTTTCTTTTGTTACTCCGCTACTGTATGTTACAGATTATAATAAGTTCACACAACTCACACCGCAGCACGTATATTGGTATACCAAAACCTAACCTAACCCCGTAGAGTACGAGAGTTTAACATAAAAAAGTATACAAAATGCTTTTATACGAATACATTTTCATCACCATCATGTTATTCGTAGTTTGTAATTGTCGCTTAGATTCGTATTCATCATATTACATTGATGAATGCTACAATATAGCGGTAGCGAGTTTAGTTTATATTTTAGGTCATTCGCGTGTTTCTGAACGTTAACACAGCGAGTAGTCTATTCAGTGATTTGAATTTTAATAATTGTGTTCCTATTTGAGGCCGTACGTAATTGCATGCAACGTGACAAACAATACAATGTGTACATAATGAGCAAAACTAACAACAAAGAAAACATTTTTTTTTTTTTATAAAAAAAATAGTTGGTCTGAAAATTGTACGCTCTGTTAGTATTTTTGATTGTTTTTATTTGAATTATTATTAATTAATTTATTTTACAACTAGATTTTCTATTTTTCAACAGAAAATCGACATAATATCGCACGACCGATCGTATTAATGCTCGTTGTATTACTGTTGTTTATGCAATCATTGATTCTACTCTTATTGGTATTATATTATACATATATTTGTTAAATATGATCAAATTAAAAACAAGTGGTTTAATTGTGTGCTCAAATCGCCAAAGTTTATAGTCAGTGCTGAAACATGTACTGCATGAACTGCTTGTTAATCGTAAAATGTGAACTGTGCGGTGAAAGTGATTACGAAATCTGAGCAGTGATTTTTCAATTTCCAGTAGTAAGACAAGATAAGCTCTATACTAACTATACTAATTAATATCCAATATTCGATTTTTGAATTTTGTTCCAATTTAATCTATACTTTTTAAAATTTGTGATTTTCAACAACCCTACGTAATATGCATCTCTTAAAAGTATTACAACGATGTGGCTTTATGTGTAAAACAACTTTCATTTAGTGCTCACATAATTAAGAATATAGTCAAAACCATTGAAAGATTTTTATTAAATTAAGCCCAATAAAATGTAATTCCCGTAATCTTTAAATCATCTTAACGCATATTATAGATTGAGTTTACAAAAAATGGTAAATATTTTTTATAGAAAAAAAAATACAAAATTAATTATTCTCGGTTATAAATTGTATACAATCACTATTCATTTTTTACATTTTTTATAACGGTTTTTTAGCAAAAATAATAGCATAAGAAATATAATATATATATATGTTATAATACAATATAGACAATATAATTATATGGTGATGAAACATTTTAAAACATGAGTTGGTAAAAATTTAATGATTTCATGCGGCTTGTTTGAAATCACTAAAAGAAACCGTGTGATGATAGAAAATTAATCCTCAGAATCTACACTATTGCGATTTCCAGTACGCGCATTATAAAGACTAATTTCAGAAACGTTAACCAACGATTAGTCAAGATAAATTAATTTTAATTAATTAATTTTATACCAAAAGTGAACTAGTAAGGCTTCGATCCGACGGACGGACTACTTATATATATATACGGCATCTATGAAACAGTTCAATGTATTCTATTATCTTCTAAAATAAAGGAAATAAAAGGCTTATAGGGTTTTCACCTTTGATCGGTATCACTATTAATATTTTCAGGTTTATTGAAAACAAAATATACTATCGATTTGTTTTTAATTCGTTAACATAGATATCAGGGACTGGAAATTTTACGATTTTATTTTGGTATTGGTTTTGGTTAAAACCGGTTTTAACCCGAACTTTTGATCTTTTTTTTACATTTTTTTTATAGGGCAGGGATATTTTTCTTCTTAAAATAAACACAGATTTCATTATCTTATAACATTACCCTATTTAAAGTCTAATCTTTAAAAATTATTGATCGTAAGTGAGTAATTAAAAAATATGGTAATCCATCACGATAAATATAAATCCAAAACCATAAAATCTACATAATAAGAATTGCAATTTATTTATAATTGGTCTAAGTATACACAGATTGGGGAGTGCAAGGGTGGATTGTAAAAATGTATTTACATTATATATACATTAGGAAGAATATACAATTTAGATATTATTACAATGTGTGCTGTGTATACAGTAATATATAATTTTATTTAAAAAAATTGTTTTTTTTTATTTTACTTATTTGTCATTACTTAATTACCTACTCAATTTTTAATTAAAATGTCGGTTTCGGTTGTTTCGTAAAAACTTTTATGGGTTCCGAGCCACGTGAATTTTCCATAAGCTCTAAGCACGTATGTGAAGATGCTTGTAGTGAAATAAAGACATAGTAACCGATTTTATAATAGCACCCACATTATAAACAAGAAGTGGTCGTTCTGATATAATAATACTACAGTCGTGTAAAACGTGTTTAATCATCCATGTAGCTAGTGTCTGGCAATCGACATGGTTTACGGTAATGAACGGCGTTAAAATGCGTTTTAAACTTAGATTAACCGTCAATTAATCTGATGTATATTTCCACCTACGTCATTGCTTTAGCTTTATATAAACTTTTACACGACTAATCGTTGTCCGCTAAACGTTCGACTATACGCATTATACTATAAAAATATTATACATAAATGATGTCGACATTGAACTGTATTAAATCTGGACCTATTAATTGAAGGGTCCGTTGCAATAACGAGATGATTTTCCTTTTTTTTCGAAACGCATATCTTAATGTATTCTGATAGCGGAATTTAAAATTTTTAACTAATTTTAAAGTTGTATATATATACCTATATATATATTGAATAATGAACTCTTATGAACTCATTTAAATCATATCTTTCGATACGATTCAAACAAATAAATGATAATTTTTTTTTTTATTATCCATTATACTTATCATTATATCACATGTATTGCTGATTTGCATGAAAAACAGTTTGCCCTTATTTCTTACTGACGGTACACCCAAAAAACAATAACAATAATGAGAACAATACCATTCGGAACAGCAATTCTTCCGTTGATATTGAACATTTTTAATTTTGGAATAAGTGTATAAAATGCCATTATTTACATTCATTGCGTTGAACGATCATATTTCATACCGTAAACAGGTATTTTCCAGTGTTCCAAATAATTGTAACCTTGCAACTGATTACGAAAAAAGGGAACACGTTGAAACGAACAATTTTTTATTTGAAAGTGTTTTTTCCCTTTCTCCTCCGTCTATGTGCGTATAACCTAAACATCACATGAATCGGTCTCGGCGCGCGCGATTCAACGTGAACAAAAGTTCAACGTAGATAGGAGGTGCTATCGGCTGGGCGCTCGAGGTGTTGCCGGACGTGTTGCGCCTTCGAGAAAACCAAATCAGACCGAACGAATATATAACGCGCGCGTCCGTTTCCGCTTACAGAGTCCAAGTTCTGGTTGGAGAACGGGAATCGGATGTTGGATATGAGGTTCAAGATGCAACTGCAGACGAACACGGCCAGGAACATGATCATGTTCTTGGGGGACGGCATGTCGTTGACCACGCTGACGGCCGCCAGGATCTACCAAGGACAGCTGCGCAACGGTTCGGGCGAAAACGAGCGGCTGAGCTTCGAACGGTTCCCGTTCACGGGCATCTCGAAGGTACGCACCGCCGCTTAGGACGCGCGTAATTGCCGTCGTACATATTATCACGTCACGGGCGACGCGTTGACCAATCGGACGGTGTCACATCGCAGCGCCATTCTATTGTTAACCGCCTGACAATGAGTTACGTTCACAAGGATGTTTTTTTTAATTTTTTTTTTTTTTTTTTCATCGCACCGTTTACCGTATAATATTCTTACCGGTTTCGAAACATACACGTCGCTTTTGATTCGTTAACATCGCTAATTGTTAGGTGCACGATAACGTCATTTATGTCGCGTTTCCATAAAAAGATAAAAATAAACAACGTAGAAAGTGTCCTCTGTTGCACAACACACTTAATCAAGTTATAACCGACTATGGCCATGCGTCTTGACCGGCTCCGCGTACCGACGAAGTCAAATCGGTTCAAAGTTGTTCTTAAACTCATAATCGAAAAAATCTTTGCTACCGATAAAATTAAAACATTTAAGAAATACATCAACCGAACGATTTCGTACGTTACTTAGTTGTAATTTGAATTACCCGTAACATAATATTATTGTGCGATTAAACGGTCGTCGTGACTTAATATCAGGCTCGATCGATTACTGTTAAATACTTACCTCATGCGTCAATATCCGAATGTAGACGTACTGCGTCGATTTCCAAGTGCCCGATTCGGCTTGTACGTCCACGGCCTACCTGTGCGGTGTCAAGACCAACAAAGGTGCGATCGGTGTGTCGTCTAAAGTATCGTTATTCGACTGCCCGGCGTCGGTGTCCGAAGACGCGAGAACGACGTCCATCATGCAATGGGCCCAGTGGACCGGCAAAGCTACCGGTATCGTAACCACGACTAGAGTAACGCACGCATCGCCGGCCGGCGCATATGCCCACGTCGCACACAGGGACTGGGAATCGGACAGTGACATGCAGCGTATTGGCCGGGGTAAAACGAACGTCACGCAGTGCGAGGACATAGCGAGGCAGTTGATCACTAGAGACCCCGGTCAAAATTTTAAGGTTTGTAAACATAAATACACATAACTCCGCGGGTTAACCTGATTAGGCGCTGTGAGAATGGTACACGGTAGGTAACGCACAAAAATTATCTTGGAAAAATTCGTTAAGCATTATGTACCCGAGTCGTAAGGAAGAAATAGAGATCGGTTCTGTATAGTATTTTTCGAAATTTAAAAAAATTAAGTCAATTATATTGACGTAAAAATCATTAGTTTGCTTACATTAGTTATATCGGAGTATTATTATGTCAGTGACAATCAAACAATTGGGGTTCAGTGTTCTTTTAAATTTTTATTACGTACACACATCGGCGGTCGGCAAGCCTCGTGGTTACATCAAACATAGTTGTATAACCCGACCTGCAGGATTTATCAAAAATATTTAAAAATATAAGTTAAAATACAGCTGTAGGTTTGTCTAGTAAAATGTTTTTTTTTTTTTTATTGTTTTATAAAACGAGTGTACAATATTGAATATTATTATTTTTTACCATTTATAAAAATCGTGACTCTAATTCAATGTTGCGATATTATTGTTATCAATTATTTGCCTATCGTAACATTTGACCACCTTCCTGCAGGTCATCTTGGGCGGCGGTCGTAGCAAATTTCTTTTTAAAGAAAGCGACAACTCCACTGGTGAACGTTTGGACGAAAATCTGATCGACGTTTGGAAAAACAATAAGCTGAATCGGTTCCCCGGTCAAACGACCAAATATGTCACGAACAGGGAAGAACTAATGAACGTGAACGCATCGAAAGTCGACTACTTATTAGGTAAGACCGTACAAAATTAGTAGTAACAGTAATAGTACTACGAGTAAATAATAACGATATTGGAAATCAAAGCCGTGGTGACTGGTAAGGGATGGAATATCTAGTGTTATTTTCTCCTATTTTTTCAGTGCCGAAGAAAATAAACGTCACACTTCCTGTTTATGAGAATGTATCAATTTTATTCGTAATGTATTCGGTTCGAGAAAAAGTTTCTTTGCCAATCTTAACCATCGATAACAAATACATATTTGGATCTACCGTTTATCGCCTGGAAAAAATATATTACCACTTTTTCTTAGGTTTTACAATGCGTTTCCAATAAATCGAAGGAAACCGTTTTTGATTTCGTTGAATATACGTAACTAGTGATGAGAATAATCGATTGGAATCATTCGATTATTATTTTTCGATTATCAATAATAGTCCAATGATTTTAATAATCCAAATAATGGTACCAGACATATTTATCAAAAGCAAATTAATTGAATTATTCGAAAAAATTGCGTGTTTTATTCATTGCCCATTGAGTACTAAATTAAGTCAACTGTTCATCAGTATTGTATTATTATTTATTTTATTTTTAATCATTGATATAATTGCCGGTATCGGTAATCGCTACACTAATTGGTTTAATACGTATAAATATTTGGATTGAAAATGCATTTCACTTTCACGTTTATAGATAATCATTTGAATCAGTTCAAGCAGTTAAATCATGAATCATTCATTTATTCGATTATTTTGTTTTTCGATTATTAACCATCACTACTCCTAACGCTCGTTTTCGGAACCACTAGTTGTTTGAATCTTGAACACTTGTGCGCGGTTCTACGCCGTGGACGTCTTGATTTTGATCCCGTTGTCCCGGTGTGCGCAGGTCTGTTCCATGACAGTCACATGGATTATCGACTGAAAGCGGACGCGAACAAGCAGCCCACGTTGCAGGAGATGACCAAGAAAGCCGTCGAGGTGCTGCAGAAGGAGCCGAACGGTTTCGTGTTGTTCGTGGAGGGCGGCCTCATCGATAAGGCTCACCACGAGACGTGGGCGAAAATTGCCCTGGATGAGACGGTCGAGTTCTCGAAAGCGGTCGCGGCGGCCGCGGAGATGACCGACGAGGACGACACGTTGATCGTGGTCACGTCGGACCACGCGCACACCATGACCATGGCCGGATATCCGGTGCGGGGCGAGAACATACTCGGCTCGCCGCGTACACTAGCCGACGACAACAAGGCGTACACTACGCTGAGCTACGCGAACGGTCCGAAAGTCTCGTTCGAACTCGACAACAGCACGAACGCGTGTCGCAGACTGGACGTGACCAACGAAGATATCGGTAAAAATACTGACACGTAGATAGTACATTTAATGCAAATGCGACAATGCGTTGCTCGCGATAGAAACAAAAAATTAAAATTAAAAACGTTCCCGTGTTAAGAATTCGGGAAGAGAGAAAAACAAAACAAAAATTATTTTTTAATTTTTTAATTTTTAACGAGCTCACCGTACGGTTTTCGAAACCCTAGTGCCGTTCTCACTTAGATTTATTTTTTCAAATTGATTTTCAGCTAAAGTTGACTTCCAATATCCGAGTTTGGTGCATTTGAACGCGGAGACTCACGGAGGAGACGACGTAATGGTGTTCGCCAGGGGTCCTTGGGCTCATTTGTTCACCGGCAACTTCGAACAGAATGAAATCCCTCTGGCCATGGCGTTAGCAGCCAATCTTCCCACTAAGCGTCCGGAGCGTGACTCTCATTCGCTCAGCGGTGCAGTGTCCCGACTTCACTCCGTAGGACTCATCTCGACATCCGTGTTAGTAGGTCTTTTAGGGACTTTCCGATTCGGATTGTAGATCTCAAATCATCATCGCCATTTTACCTCTCACTCGCGATTTTCTATTCAAAATGTTTTAAAATCATCACAAATATGATAACTTCAAAACCGACCCATGTATTATTATTGTTACTATTACGGTTTAGAAAAAACAATCAAGTCGTCAGTTATGATCACATTTTATGACTTATCATTATATTTATTTATATTATAATATCATATTTGTTATTTTGTATAGTTCTTCCAAGGTGGTCCTATATTATTGTCCGAGAAGGAAAATAAACAAAGTTTTTGGTCATTTTAAATATGTTTCGATTTATTTTTGAAAAATAAATTAATTGTGTTCGAAGCTTACATGTTCTCTTAGTACACACGATAACCGGTAATAATACTTATTTCATAGTTGTTTTAGTTGTGATGAATGTTTGGTTGCCTAACATTCGCTCACTGTGCCCTTCTTTCCTACACGGTATATTTAATAATACATTTTCGAAAACATATGCATAAAACATAAAACATATAAAATGTTTAAGTATACGTCAATGGATGAAATTAAAAACGCAGCAAAGATAATTTTGGAGGACTTATCATGGGAATATAAAGAGTAAGAACATAAAATAAAAAAAAAACTCACATAATATATTTATTAATTCGTATTGCTATTCATATCGTACCCGTGACATATTGAACACACAAGACACGCGCGTTAAATCATGTTCCGGCAATATTATCATGTCACATCGGATTTTGGTCGATTGTTCGAGTGCGTTTGTTACGCGAGTAAACTGTTAGCTTACTGTTAGTAAACGCCCGCAGGGGTGCAATATAATGTGCGATTTACAAAACGGCAACAGGTGGATATCTGACGGAAACGGCCGTGGCTTTTCCGACTTCAGTAAGTATCAAACTATTGATTTGATAATGGACAGATGTATAGATTGGAAATTTCCGGCTAGCGGATCCTAATAATTATTATACATGTTTCGTGTAACGGACACGTGTTTAAATGCAGATAATTAACAATCAATATACATAGGCGTTTTATAACAGTAATGTTCACATACGTGTTGTGTTCATTTGCTGTAGAACGGTTGTTCGCGGTAGGACGTCCATGCGAATTTGGCCCACCCGTGTAGTGTTATTTATTAGGCTCTATTGTTGACGAAAAAAAATAGCAATATTAGCGATTCATTTTTTAATAAAAAATTTAGGTCAAGTATGTAATTGTACCACGGTGCGAAATATTTTCCATATTATCATGTATTTCCACTCGTGTTTTTCCGGGTTGGATCCAGAGAGGTGGAGATAAATTTCTTGTCGATTATCCCACGATGATACACCCGTACTTATAGCGTTTCGTGATCATTTTTTTCAAATATTTATTGCTTATAAATAAGATACGTTAAACAAAATAAATTAATACTAGCTTTACACCATACTGAGGTACATACTTAAAAAATTGTACCGTAGAGCAAGATTATTTAGTCAAAATAAAATATTAAGAGGATAAAAAAATTAAACAAAAAAATAATATTAATAATAGAAAAAACGTTACCCGTTTCATTAAAATATAGAGCGAGTATAACAAGAAACGTTTGAGTCTTATAGTATTTATAACAATCGACATTGAATTTTTTTTTTCTTTTAATAATTATTGTAGGACCAATTATTTTAGTTTGCGTTTTAAACATGAATAATTTTAAAAACCACATATCTAATTTGGAATCATATCTAGAAACTTTAATCTAACTTGTATACTTGTCATTGAAACTTTTTTTTCGGTGTTAATGAATGATATTTCATATATTTTTTTGTATTGGAATTATATTTTACAGAATGTTTTCTCAACAGGCGTAGATTGCTTTTAATTTTCCCATCTTGTTGCAGTAAACCACAGGATCCGTGATGAACGGCGAGTTTTTCGATTGTTTGTACTTCATGGAGTCTGAGTAAAAACCGTTTGGATAATACGCAAGTGAGTGTACAACTTAATTTCAAAAGTCGAGACATGACCGTTACCAGTGGAGCCACTCAAACGTTTTGGTGGCTTATAAACTTAACGAGGTGTGCGGTGTCATCCGTTCCAATAATATGACTTTAAAACGTCGCCTGTTGAATCGCGTAAACTTTTCTCTCACGTGCCTATAATAACAATAATAAACTTTGTGTTATTAAATTCAGCAACCGATGTAGCGGCTTGGTCCTATTTGCTCGCCAGTAACTTCGACAATCGGCTGTAATCGGGAACGACGTTCAAATCTAGTAATCGACTAAACCGCTGAATTTTCGAACACGCGGAATAATGCTCATTGTGTAATTATGTATACAAGATATCGACGAAGGGAAAATTTAAATAAAGGTTACTAAGATTGTCGTGCAACACATATGGGTGGGTTGTACTGCACACGTTTTTCAATATTCTTCCGTCCCCCGTCAATGCACAGACAGCTATAACTTTAACCAAGCACAGCGGAATTTTGATTGTTAGTTTATAAATTGCGTCCTAATAAACGTCCACCTTCTGTATATACACACATAAGTACATACATACGGATATAAGAGTGTACCCTGTATGTGACAGCGTAATTTGCATATTGTGCTGTACATATGTGTACATACACACCGTAAATGTGTGTGTATATGTATATATACCTGCGATGAAATATCTGCTGGTGCGCTTGTTACTACGCAATGCGTGTGTACGGTTTACGCTCTCTTTTAAACTACTCCCAATACAGAGCAGCACGATTAAAATCTCATCTGACAGTCGCACCACTTTACAAATCCTAATTTAATTTATTTTTCTTAAAGAACACTTCGTGTTTCGTTCGAGAATCGATCAGCTGAGAAAATACAATTATATTATAATATATATATACTCACATACATGACTGCACTCGAGTGGGGCTGTTCAACTTTCGATATGTCTAACGATAATAACACTCATATTATATTGTACATTATAAAGGTCGAATGTTCGGAAAGTAAAATCGAATTTTGCCGAATTACCGAATAATATTATATTTCCTACCACGGTAGAGCTTATGTAGGCTCGACGTTATAAGTCAAAATTACAAACGGACCATGTGACGAACAACATTTCAAACAATGGCACTATGGTATTGTATCGCGTGGTATACATATGAGTTTAAAAGGGAGGTTTTCGGGAAAATATCTCTCGTTGATTTTTCTTCAGTGTGTTATTTATAATTATAAATATAAACTAATATAAAAACAAATATTTCCTTTGTTTCTTATATGTACTAAACTACAAGAAAAATTTAGTTTCCTCTCAACTTTTATCTTGACCACACGATTCGCTTATAACAATTCATTTATAATTTTCATTTACCGTATTAAATTATAGTTATAATCTAACAAATCACATCCACCCACATATAATAGTTCTAAAATAGTTCTATGGGACTTAGTATTTGTCTCAGTTTCAAGTACTTGTTGACGATGACCAAAATCTACAGAATGAAGTCAAATCAGTTGCGTATACATGATACACTCATCGTTGATCATCGATAATATGTTTACGAAATTAGTCCCACTAAGTTAACTGATACATTAAAAATTAATACCAATATGATATAAATATATTACATATAATTAAAATTTGAAAATCAAGTAAAAACGATTTTTTTTCTTGTAGAAAATTATTGTTCGGAAGTTAATCGAAATTATAATGAAATTAAGTTTTGAAAAATAAACTAGTTAAGAAAATAAGTATATATCGTTGATTAAAACCATTTTACAATCGTGTAGTAAAAATTTTCATATTTTGGGATAGTTGTTATTATCCTAACACGATACAGAATGCTATTGACAACCAATAGTTTTTAAATTTGAAATGACATGTATTTATTTTAGTAAGGAACAATCAAACTTTAGATATCGTATTCTTAACAACGGACGACAACTGACATAAACAATTTCTGAAAAACAATATAATAATTACATGTAAGTAAAAACAGCTTTTTGATGGATTGTTGACTCTATTGTTTGAATGAAATTGAACGTAAATTTTAATTTTAATATTTATGTATACACTTTAAATACCATTAATTTAATTACTGAACGACTTACTGCTTAAACTACCTTAACGATTAATTGACTACCTTAACGATTAATTGAAATTGTAAGGGAATGTATTACCATACTACTATGTAAATAATTACGTAACATTTTTGAAATTAATATTTGAATATTTACTGTTTATATAAAATGTAGAACACATTTTATGCTTATTATTTCAGAATTATAATGAAAAATATGAAATAATTTACCGTTAATGATGACTAACGGAGTTAAACTTGAAAAATATAGCTGATCGGTAAATTAAATTATGACGGTATACAATCGAAATTCGATAGTTGTTTAAAAATAAAATATTATTATTATGAGGAGCATCACTTTTCCAAACATATTTTTGTTACGTAAGTCGTCGGTCCAGTATAATACAAACCGTATAATTATTTGACAACAGTTAACGATAAAATCAATTGTATACTTTTTTTTTTTTTAACCAATCGAGACTAACCCCTATTCCCGTGTGGATTATTGTTTAGTTTAGTGGTATTTCAACGTCGAGATGTTGGATTTGGTAGACAAGGGAGTGGTTTATTTTCTCGAGACGGACGTTACATTTTTTTGTCTCGGGAAAATGACAAACCGAGTGTTCGAGTAACGTTTGTATTTTAATTCGATCGGAGAAAATATATAAAAATTATGGATACCACCGTACGTAGGCGGTCGAGAACGAAATAACAATAATAATAATAATATCAATTACGGCGAATACCGTTGTGCGCAGTTGATCATAACGACGTACTGCGATATGAATTGCCGAGTCTTACGATTACTGTTCACTACCACTACTACAAATAATAATAATTTTATTTATCATATCATTGTGTGTGTAAAAATAAAAAAAAAAAAATGATTATCATCGTTATTATTGCTATTGTTATAATATACTCTGTACACCAGAGCCGGTTTTTGAATTATTTCGTTGTTAAACGACGAACGCGCGCGTTCCACGAGATTCCCCGTGCCTAGCGTGACGACTCGTAATATGTACCCACTACTATTCATTGCTGTTCGCGTCGAGTACGGTAATTCGAAACCGCCGCGTGCACAACATGTCGCAGTTACGGTAAATACGCATATTTATATACACGGCTGTGTGTGTGTATTGTATATTTTTATACATATATTTATGTAAAATATAATGAATACGTATTCGTATACGAGCTCGAGATTTCCCGGAGTGACGGCGGTTGGTGGGAGGAAGGGGTTGTCACGCGATGATTTATGTAAGACACGACGCGATATTTTAGGGTAAAACGTTTAAACGTTATTAAAAAAAAAAAAAAAAAACGAAGGGTGGGCTACTCCCCGAACAAACTCCGTCGTGTCGACGGATCGCGTTTTATCATCGGGTTTAACGTACAGTTATTTTGTACGATGTTTTATTTTCCGTTTAATATTATTAAAACGGCATTACGTCGACGTATTATTGCAATAATAAATATGCAAAACGATCGACGCGTAATTATTATTATTATAGTTGTTACTGTTCGTTCGAAAATTACAATCGTACCGGGTGAGCACGCGTGTCCACGTTTACACAATACCCTGTACGTACCCTGTGTAGTAGCGATCTGGGCACAGTGTTCAGCCCAGATAGTTATTTTTTAATCTTGATAAAGACAAAAGAAAATCGTAATTCATTTGGATAGAAATCAGAAAACATTTTTAAAAACAACACGAATGAGAACGAATTCACGCTCCGTTTGTCTGCCATAATCCAGCATCGAAAAATTAAAGTTTCAGAATGGGACCTACACCTCAAGTTGATCAGAATATTTTTAGCATATTTATTTTTTTCCAATCGAATAATATTTGTAAATTGTATTTGTAGTAATAGTTTAAATAGAGAAATAAATAAATTTAGCCTAGAGTATTGTTATAGATGTAAAGTAAAACCGGTTTCGAGGACATAGAAAGTCAACAAGATCACGATTGATTATGAAAAAATTAAAGGAAGGAATACATTAAGAAAAAAATGGTCATTTTGCATAATTTATTTTAATATGAGAGATCGTTTAAAATTAATTCTTATTCGACATAGATAACAAGAGAAACCATTTTGCAATTAAAAATTCTTTATCATTGAACTAGACGTACAAATTTCATTCACAAACCGGTTTGGACGTACGAACCGACACGGAAAAATTTCTTGTTCCGGTTTACACCACGATTTGCCGATTCTTGGCAGTTTAATTACATGTAGCATATTTCTCTTGTTGTACAATGCTCCGCAACGGGTTTTGAAATGCACATGTTATTTATGTTGTGGTGGTCGTGTTTTGTTTTTTAGCAAAATATGAAATTTTGTTACGTAAGTTTAGCAATAATTTTTACTAAAAACACACCCGTCAAAAAAATACTCTTGTGCTAGAGTTTTAATCATTAAATTATAAAAAATTAGCGCAATTTTTTTTACTTTTTAAATAATACGATTGCGAATGCTAAAATATTAAATTGAAAATTGAATTCCTTTTATGAGCAAATTGTGAGTGTAGTTATAAGTTATATTGTAATCTAAACGTTCTACTCGTTTCGTATATGGCATCTATGTTTGACTAACGTCGATTATATTGTTTCTAAATTAGGAACTGTCCGAGAAAAATGAAAAATTTTCCATGAATATTTAATGCGTTTCCAAATCGCGCACTTGTTTCGGTTTGCATATTTTTCTTTTTGCCCAACGGAATATTAAGTTGACAATAATTTGTTCCTAATTTTTCAAACTATAACATAATCTACGTATCAATAATTTATAATAATATGTTCTTGTTCCTATTTAAAGGTGTAATAAACTCATCTGCTACGATGTGATATATCCGGTTTCATAAAATGAAATATTCAGGTCTTTGAAGAATCTTGTTCTACTTAAAACAAGAAATTAAAATAATTTCTAAATTTAGACTCTTATTTCCGTTGATATTACGATGCTTATCTAATGATTTTTTGTATCGAGTTTCAAAGTTCTAATAACGTAAGAGGAAAAAGTTTATTTCACCGAAAAATTATCAATACATAATAAGTACGCACGCTACGCTGCTCAAGTATGAAAATAGTAGGTCGGTTTAGTGACGCGACATTGACAATAATTTCAAGCCACAGGTCAACTGTGCGTATTACGTAGTACGTTGTTCCATGCATAATTAACTATCTGAAACTGCGTTTGCCAATGAAAGATAAATATTTTAGAACGAAACGTGTGTTTATTAAGTCAACGGCTTACGAGATGAATGAATGCGGCATAAATAATTCACACTTGAAGTTACCTATTAGAGTTAGATTTATAACCTATATTGTATGTATTTGTGCATGTATGTATGATATATTTTACAATCAAATCCTTGATGAATTACGGATGAAAGATACATTTTGAAATCCTGACGGTGGGAAACCAAAATTAACGTAGACATTATAATATGAAATCGGAAGTTCGCGGACGGCAAAGTAAAAAATTCAAGAACTACTGAATTTTAAGGAATCTCAATGAAATATTAATACAACAATTTACTATTTGTACTCAAAATCTCATTTCTATCAGGAGTGAATATGATGTATCAAAGAACTTCAAAGTATATATAATGAAGTTAATACTCTGTTTTGCGTACCTCGTACATATGTGCGTTTTGCTGTAATATTTAAAGTAAATAGGTACATATGAGCACAAAATACTCGACAGTTTAATAACATATCAATACATAACATTTATTTCAACACCAGTTTTTATAAAAAAAAAAAATATGTGAAATAAGTGCGTATAAATTAAAAAAAAAATATACGATCTCTTATAATCAAGTCATATTACTTTGAATTTAAAATAGTTAAAAACTGCTTTGAGTTTTCAATAGTTTTTTTCAAAAATTATTCATTCATATTCAAGTTGTGTATGTGAAAGTAACTCGAAATATTATAATCGGTCTTTTAAGATTTGTTGCATTTATTTAATTGAAAATCATATACGTATTATGTATACGATAGAATAATATGAATTAAGGTTGAATTTATAGTCATAAATTCGCAAATAATATAAATAGATTTCCATTGTAATTACCAAATTTTCCTATCTGTGAAAAAAAGTCAAATTTTTTTTTTTCATCTGTCATCAATATTAATATTTCACGTATAATATAATCTATATTACATTATGTTTTTTCGTAAAATGACTTATTTACACCGAGAATAACGCATATATGCGAAAAGGCATTAACTCTCATTTTTAGGAACAGGGAAAGTGCACTTATTTGTTACTTATATCTTATACGCAAATGCAACTGCAGTAGCGCAGTATACAAATTGACTTCGTTCAACTTCATTGCGATTAATTTCATTAGATTTAATAGAAAAGGCATCGAGTAATAAACTTTTACCGGCATTTTCCTTTACACGTTCATCTTTAAAATAAATCACGGTTTAACATTTGATAGCTTTGCTGTGAGATTACTGAGTAAACGAAGAAAGTTTTTCGTGTTGGAAAACGGATTCACTTATTCGACTAAATGTAGGTACCTCGATAAAGATCTGTAACTATATGACTTAAGAATAGTAGCGTTGCAGTTTAAATATAAATAATACGCATTAACGCTAATGTTTATAAACACATGTGATTAACAATAAGTTTCACGAATTCACGGACATATAGTATACGTGTTTATTTTCAATCTTCCATACACGTGCATATGTAAATTTATATTTTAAAACCTTTATTTATTAATGTCCAAAAAAATTAAAAGAGTGACTAGGACCTGTGTAAGACAATACAATCAGAATACAATGGTTTTCGACATAACGTAAGTTGTAATGTTGTTAATAATCGAAGATGTCGAGAGTTACGATTCGAAGCACTGTTTTCGATTAATACCCGCAGTCGTTTAAAATAAACTAAACTAGAAATATTTATGTTTCAATAGTTAACTCCAAAAGTATTAGTATCTTAGTAAAAATATTTCTTGAAAAACCCAACATTTAAACGGCATGTGGCCACACCTATCGTTAATTAAATCAATGGCATAATTGTAGTAAACAGTGTAGGCATATTATCAGGGGTCGTAGCCCATGTTTCTTGGAGCTTTTAAATACCAATTAGATATGAATAAATTACATTCATTAAAATTCCTATGTAGTATAGTCACATCGAATCCCATATGGTGTTGACTATCAATTTTTTTTTAATTCGCAACGATGAGTTCGTTGTTTATATAAAAATAAATGAATGTGTAAACTGGATTATTATGAGTGCATGTATAATATACGACCGGTTTGGAATTAAAAATTCATCATTGGATGTATACAAAGTCATTAAAATCGCGACTTTATTGACTTTGTCCACATTTGATGATCAATTTATGATTCCAAATCTGTCGTATGTAATAACACATATAATAATACTCAAAGCTACGGATTCATTTATTTTTATATATAAACCATGTACGAGTATTTATATATTAATTTACGAGTGTTAACCATCTACTGATTTTTGTTTTATTTAATCATTTAATAAATTCTTATTTAAATCTATGTCAGGCCACCGTACTAGATAAGGAAATGCGTCAATTGGTATTTATTTGTTGTTTATTGATGATTTGCCGGTGTACTAACGTTTTAATACATAGTCTTACTATGTGCATCGCGAAGATTGTGATAGCAATCGTTTAAACAATGAACACTTGAGATAAGAAAAAAAAAAATGTTCGTTCCACAAGTGCACTGCAAACAAATGTTGGATAGTGGATGGTTTGTGTGGTAGCATATTTACAATAGTGGGTATAAAAATTCATTCGACACGACAAGTTATTGTTATTTTCATCGTATTTGCAGCCATAACGGACCCACCACGATGCAACGGCTGTACGAGGTTTTGTACGTTTTCGCGGTTATCCTGTTGTCGCTTTTCGGAGTAACAAACAGTTTTGAGTTATGTACGTAAATTGTCTCACAGGTTGTAAGATGATAGGAGGAAAACGTTACCACCATGTGGGTAAGAACACGACGCCGTGAACAATATCTACATACATCGTAAAGCGAAAACTCGATTTTTGATATACATAAATATAAAAAAAAAAAAATAACCGTTTTTAAACAATGTTTTTATACTTTTCAAAATTGCTTCACCCGTACTTTTTACAGAGGCGTCGTGTATATTGCGTTTATGAATATTATACCTCATGAATAAACGTAAATGTTGACGTATTGTTTGTCGATTTCCAGCACACATTGAAACCGATGCCGAGATTATTGCTGACAGAAAACGAGCGAGCAACGATAACATTAGACCAGGGGAAAATGGTACGTAAAATTCGTTATCCGTGGCGGGTGTGTATATAGTAAGGGATAAGACGGACTTCTATAAACATCAGTCTGTTCCCCGAGCCATACGAAGAATATTTATTAGCTTTACGATGGTATTTACATTTTTTTTTTTTTTTGTGCCAGCGTTAAATTTTTTTTTAAGCAGAAGGAAAATAATATTTATAAATATCTAACACTCCATTATTGATTGTGACTGATACATTTTTCTACCAGTGCTTATAAACATCTTCACATCTGTGTTGGACTATGGATTAGATGACAGAAGTTTTTTTTCTTCTTTTAGTGAACTAAATATTCAATTATTTTTCTAAAGATGAAAAATAAACTGTTATAAGTATCCAAAGAATTTCTCCGAGAAAGCGATATTTTCCATTTATGTATCTATATTTTTCGATAAAAAAGTTTCACTCGAAAATTAATGTCTTATTGATCTATAATCAAGTTAAAATAATTGAACCTTGTTATTTATAATTTTAATTTATTTTCCATTTTATCAATTTATTGAAGTTTGTACTAAAATTTGTATAGTATGAAAGTTACTAATATAATTATAAATTATGACGGCAATCATCTACATTAGCAGACGGCTTATCAAGGGACCGTACTCCTTCTACACGGAAAGCAACCGTAAGCTACTGTGCAGTAAAAAATTTCTCATAAGTTATCACAAGTCTTCGTTAACATTTGTCAAATCAACAAAATGGTTTTGGAAAAAATAGAAAACATTTAAAATAAAAAAAAATGCATTTAAATTGGCAGGGACCGACTAATAAATGACGCTTATATTTTTCTTGTTGTAGACAAGAAGTTTTGGAAAGACATCGGAAACAGTCTTCTGCACCAGAAGTTGCAAGAAAAACGACAATACGGTGTGGCTAAAAACGTGATCTTCTTCATCGGTGACGGTATGTCGATAACCACGTTGGCCGCTTCCAGAATTTATATGGGGCAGATGAATAATCGAACTGGTGAAAACGAAATGTTATCATTTGAGGAGTTTCCGCACACCGGACTGTCTAAGGTGAGAGTAAGACGCACATTGTCATCATAGGTATTTCAAAATTGACCGATAAGCTATTACGACGTACGTCGATGTTAATCTTCAGCTTCGGTTCCAAATTCATTGAATAGTTGAAATATTTAAACATTTCGAAATTTCCATCATGATATCACGATTACAGCTATTTGTATTTGTACTTATAGTTGAAAATTATATTATTACGATTTTTAGAACATGCAATTTGGGTTTTTTACAGTAATTTTATTCTCGTCAGAATTATATGTAATAAAACTTTGTTGGGGTCACTAAACGGATCTAATGAACACCACGAGTAAACAAACATAAAATACATAACCATTTTTAAACGCATGGTAGAGTACATTATTTCAACTACTCGTCCATGTTTATGTAATATATCCAAAAGTGCAGAAAACATTTTGCAGAATTTATTAAGTAATCTCTTTCCCGTGCCATCCCTCTGTTTGCTCTACACTTGGACAATACACTGGACCAAGTCCACTGGAAGTGTAGTCCACAGATGTGTTAATTCTCTACTCAGATTAAGGGGTACAGTGTTACACTGCGAAAAATATTTCGACAAAGACCTTGACTGTTATTTATTTTCGATTAAATACGATTTGCTTTTAAACGTGTCAAGTGTCACGCCGCACGTTTACCCTTTGCCCACACCGGGAATCCTTTCGTACCGTTCGGAACCGCGGGACGATACAGGGTCAATGGTGCCTTTACCGTCATTCCTTACCAGCGGCGTATTTACGGGGGGTGGGATTTGAGGCATCAATCCCCCTTGGTCTTTTTTTCCCTTAGGAGCATCTTAATGGACTAGCACTTTTATCAGTTTATTGGACAATAAACATAAATACGGATGAAAAAATTGATGAACTAGCAACTAAACAAAAAAAACTTGATTTTGTGTTATAATTATGAATAATAAATAATTATAATAAAATTAAATATATTTAATGTGTAAAGAGTGAACTATTCCATAAATAAAATATTATTATTGTACTAAATTTAGTGAGAATTGTTTGAAAAACTCAAAGGAGGTATGGGGGGGGGCGTAACTCCACATTTATGTATGTCATTCACTCTCTATAACAATTCCTAAATACATCATCGTCCCTTACCCAACTTCCGTTTCAGACCTACTGCGTGGACAGTCAAGTAGCCGACTCGGCGTGCTCAGCCACGGCGTACCTGACGGGTGTGAAGGGCAACATCGAGACCATCGGTGTGTCCGGCACTGTATCCCTGCGTGACTGTATCGCTAGCAACGAGCCCGAAAATCAGGTGGAGTCCAGCCTAAGGTGGGCGCAACGCGCTGGCAAAAGGACGGGCGTGGTGACCAACATGAGAGTGACGCACGCCACGCCGGCGGGCGCGTACGCGAACGTGGCCCAACGGGACTGGGAGTGTGACAACGATATAGCCAGGGACCAGTTGCTAAATGACCATAAGCTGTGTCTCGAAAACTCTCAAGACATCGCTAGGCAACTGATCGAAAATGATACGGGCAGAAATCTTAATGTGAGTGTGAACACGTAATCTTACGCGAGAACCGTTGACCACCCCGCTTTGTGTGTTTGCTCAGCTGCTGATCGATATTCATGAATTTTGACTTTTTCGAATCGAAATAGAGCATATTATGAACATATTTAACAGCTGTTTTCAAGAAAGATACTCGATATTTTATTACATTCGAATATTTTGAAAAAACAGGTGTAAGCAATACAAACTGCTATATAATTAAAACCAACAATGTGAGATTGATCACTTTGCTCAAAAAATATATAAAAAAAATATAGATATAGGCGGAGTGCCATCGGTTATTTCTTATTTGGTTATGACGTCGATTTAACATTCATTTTCAATATATATTACACATGACCCTGATTACAATTCTGTTCAGCATGATTTAAGACATTCTACTCCCGTAGCGTGGATGATAAAATATTGCACCGAAATATTCTGCTGTCGTAGGTGCACATGACTTTATATTTATCATTTCACTAGCATTAAAAATCTATTGCCACACAAAACTTTTAAAGCAATACGATATCTAAAACCAAATTTTTCTCTTTTCCCGATTAACGGACTCGTATATAAACTAAAATAATTTTAAAATAAAGCAGATAGCAAATAGGATTATGTCCGATATAAAACATTTGAATGGTATTTTACACGAGTGAGATAGAATTTTCAGAAATATGTGGCGTGATCGTATGATACATGTGGAGACACTTATTGAGTAGCAATAACAAAAGTGGTTTTTATTTGAACAAGCTATGTCGTGTTTAAATTCACCGATTAGCGTAAGACCCATATATGAACTAAGCGTTTAATCCGCGGTACAGATTTCATTAAAAAACACTTCAAATTACAGAAGATTGTTGACGGTGGTTATTGTGTCCCGTATGATAATAATTGCCCTAAAAAGTAAATTAAAAAAAAAACATAAATTATTTTATATTATATTGCAGGTAATAATGGGCGGTGGGAGGAGTAAGTTTTTACCCAACACCACTGTAGATAATTATAACCATCTAGGACAGAGAAGAGACAACCGGGATTTGATCCAAGAATGGTTGAATAAAAATCGAAGAGAGGGGGAACACAGAGCTTATGTTAGCGACCGAAAGGAACTGAAATCTCTGAATACTACACAGACGGATTTTCTTTTTGGTAAATATCAATAATTTTAATCATAATCATATTTGTTATATTTTGTTTTACACTTTACTCAAGACGCACTCGATTTGTAATACGTTTGGATCCATATGTGTTAAATCATTATTCCACTCGCTAATCATTGATATTGAAGTACAATTACGTGGTTAATCTTGTGTGAAATTGTGTATAAAAGTCACATGTTTTATAAGTTCTGAGGTTAACACAAAATATTGTTTATAAAATGAATAATGAAATTACGACTGACTGTTATATAAACATTTATATATATATATATACATAATATTGTTAAAATTTGTTTCAAAAAAACTTTTTGAGTATTTTCTACAAGCTGTTGTAAAGAGCCATCTCATAATACGTATTTGCTTCTAAGTGTAATTTAAATAATAATTATTTAATAGACTATAAATGTTCGAGTGGAATAAAATATTAACTTTTACACATTTATCTAATGAGTAATTGGTCGGGTAGCGTGCCATTTGAACTATTTCAAAATTGTTTAATAATTATTTTAAATTTAATATTTCCTTACAATAATTTATAATATCGCTAATTTTGAACGTTTTTCGTGCTAATAAAGTATTTGGCAATTTAATATAAACATAAATAATTACAATAGAATTCCGTTATAAATCGTTATAGTTTCTGCTGAACTCAATAACGCGTATTTATGTTGAATAACTGATCTTGTATTTGATAAAAATTAAAATTCAATGATTTCGAAATCACATACTATGTAAAATAGAAAAAAATATTTTAAACTAATGCGATACTTCTTGTAAAGAGGTTTAACATATTTTAATGGATGTTATTTTATTTTATATATTTACTATAATAGCTCGGTTCTATAGTTAAATAATCATGAGATTAGCGTAAATAAACATGGAACTTTGTATAAATATCTATGCTTGTATAAAACGTGTAATATATAAATTAAAGTTTTCAAATTTTAAAACGATAATTTATAAATTAATGTAAATAATAATTATTTATATTAATTTATAAAATATTTTTATACTAACAATTATTGTTAGTATAAAAATATTATTTTTATATAATATTTTTAATATATTTTTAATATATTTAAATTTATAATTTATTTAGTATATTTATATGTGTATAAATATTTACTATAAAGTAAAGAGTTTGTCTCGTTATATAACATTAATAATAACAACGAATAAATATATACGGTGATTCGAAAAAAAAAAAATCAAATACAGAATAGATAAGCCATAAAAGTATTATGAAAATATGTGTATAAGCACTCAATAATTCGTAATTATTTTTTCAGTTATATAATAATATACGCATTTATGTAGACACCGTATGAAATAGAGATAGTATTATGTTAATCGAAAAACTTAAAAATATTATTATACGCCACTAATTGTGTGTATTTAACACAATGCGCTGTAGTAAATAATATAACTATTTGTAGGATGATCCGTTTCAGCTCGTATGGACGGGATTAAAACGTATTGAATTTAAAAAATATGAAAACCTTTACTAAATATACAATTTCAAACGATATGATTCGATAATTATTCGTCGTGTGTGCTTAATGGGCGAATTTTAGTTCGGATTCGAAACCTTAATCACTACACGAGTATCATGCTTTATCATCCCACAGCATATAATTATAATTCAATAGATCGTAGGGGGTTTTTTTTTTACGATTTTCGAAAATTCGGAAAAGTTCTTATGGATCCCACTCTCGTTTGTACACTACGAGTATCTACTAGAACGTGTTCAGGTGTTCAAATTATTATAAATACGATTAAGTGTGGTGTGTAATGTTTTTGGTTTGAAATTCGACGGCTATTAGGTGCAGCGTAAAAAAATACGACTGCGTACGGAAGGAAGGAATGCTTGTATCGTATTTAAATGTTTTGAGCAGGGGAAAATTTGAGATAAAAACAACTATATTTACGATTTTGGCACGGTCCAATGGAAAAATGACCGCAAGTATGATAATAAATATGTAATTACGTAGCAAGCGTGTGCGTTCACGTCGCAATGCTATGTTGACTACGACCGCGGAATGGTTTTCGATTAATCGTTTGAGTGCGGTCATTTTTACGTGCCATCGCGTCGCGCGACTACATGGTGTCGGTGACAACGTGGGCTTCATCGAACACACACACACACACACACACACACACAGACGGGTTGTATTTGTACAAGCTTTTCAACAGCCTACTCGACTTTGCCATTAACAACAGGTGAATGCGAACTTTCACCGTCACACCCCCGACCGGATGCACATCCCATCGTCTGATCGAATTAACCCTCAAGTACACACACCAGTATATATATATATATATATGTATGTGGTGTAGTGATGGCGAATTTATAAGCGAATAGAGTTTGAGAGAGAGGGAGAGAGGGAGAGAACCGGTGGTGAAGGTTTATTACACGTAAAACTACATGGAGCTGCAGCTATGGCTTTTATTGTAATATACGTGGATCCGCCAGTAGGGTGTGTTTATTATTTTACACCGTTCCGGCTAGCGTTTGTCCTCCGCTAAACCGTTACCCTTACCCGTGACCTGATCAATTCTTTGAGAGCTATTGTGTATTCCCGGGTATGGGGCCACAATAACGAGACAACAATAATAACAATAATAATAATAATAACGTTTATTATTTTGTTTGTTTACGGTCGATTTGGCGTAGTGGAATTAAAATATAACAACAATAATACGAGCAGTAGTGAAAATAACACGAGTATAACGGACGTGGGTCGCGCAGCTTCGTATTCGAAAAAAGAACGCTCGTGCGTGAATGTGTATTATTGTAACGGCCACTGCTCCGGATGCACTGGTATACATTATGTACTGAAAGCCGACACTAGTATTATAAATTAGCCATTTTTGAGGGTTAATCCTGCCTTGAATCGTGCATTTCACAATACCACAAGCAGGTCATCAGTTGCTTACATGATCATTTTAAATTAATCTTTGTACAACCGAGTTTATGAGCAAAAAAAATATTATTTCAATAACTTATTCTTTGAAATCATATATCTCAATGATTTCCGTACAAGATTATTTGTGTGTAAGAGCAGGAAAACGATAGCACTGTGGATCTCAAACCTTAAGTGTCATAGACCACAGGATATCAACTGAAATTCGTATACATGGATACAACAGTGCAACGGGTAGGCACTGACTAAATATTAGCCAAATACGGTCAGATCTGGATTTCGGAAATGACGGTTCCGCCGCGCGTATTTGTGTTTATATTTTGATACATTCGTCTCTGTTTATAAAGTGAAAAACAGAGCGTGTTCTGCAAAGTCCATTTGTTGGGATTAAATTAGTTAAATTTATTGCTGAACGTATACCGATCCACTTAAAATCCGAAACGCGTTGTTATTTAGCCAACGGGTTAATATTTTTGCATTCATCAAGGAGTTTCGACTCCACCGTGTCAATGAAATGTGTGGTAACATGTAGTAAAATTATATTGTTATTTGGATTTTAAAATACAATAAATAACAAAAAAAAAAAAATATATATACAACTGTTTGAAAAAAAAAGAAACATATTTATTTATATTCAAAGCAAAAAACAAACATGACCAAAACTCGAATTATAAAACTAAATGAAAAAATTGATAAATTTTTGTATATTGAAAAATCAATTAATGATCATATTGTTAAGTCATATTGTTTGTTGTAAAACATAATATTTATGTGACAAAATATCATTATAAATATTAAGTAAATACTATATTCAAGGTATTCAAGGTAGTAACTGGAACATATTTGATTCAAACAGTTTTGTTGAAATCAAATCCATAATAATTAGTAATTGGTATACACAACGCTACATGTTGCTACTTCATACCTTATGTAAGTCTTTATACTAAGAAAAGTATTTTTTTTTTATTGTTATTGCATTATAAAAATATTAAAATACCATACCCTGAATAAGTAAAATAAACATTTACATAAAAAAATTATTATATATACAATTAAAATGATAATAAGCGAGTTAATATATAACAGTTGGATTCCTATCATAATAGAAAAAAAAAAGTATACATTTTAAAATCTGAGATTTACTATTTATTACTCAAAATTTTGAAAAAAATATTATAATTATAGATTTTGTGACTGTGAGTATTATTTATAATATGTTCCTATATCACTGTACATTATTGATGCATGAACTAGTATCTTTAATGTGTGTATTACAAACCGAATGTAATCGAGTTCGATGATAGTGATTAGAATAATATTTTTTTATTGTGATCTTACACCTATGGTATGGAAATCATAAATATTTTTTATGGTTAAAATTAAAAACTATAATTTTCGGAACGAATTATACATTGCAAAGTTTCAACGAAATGAAAACCTTAGTAAACCATATGTCCTGAAAAAACCCCAAAATACTAAAGTAACGGTTAGATTACAATATTATGTTAGAAACATTTGTCTTGGAATAACCGTTTTTATTTTGACGCCATGTCTCAAATTTTGACGAAGGGACTGATGTTTGTACCTCATCGTGTAGTGAAACCCATAGTGTTCTATTGTACGGGAAAAGAAAAAAAACTCGTAGAACAATGGTATGGCAGCGGACTAGGACTAGGATTGTTGAGCTTGTAATATTATTTTTGTAACCGGTGTAATGCGAGCATCGGTTATGCGATAGCAGTGAACGCAAATCAAAATGGTTGAAGAATCATAGTATTCTTATACGATTTATATAGTTTATATTTATTTAGCGGTGACGCGTGTCACATAAAATAATGTTATTTAGATATACGTCACATTTAATAATAATATTTTCTCGGAAATTCCGTCAAAAATGTATAATTTGTACGATCTTTAAAAGTCGTGCATTTCCTACCGCTTATAATTGTCCGGTGTCACGATACGTTGCACAACGAAAAATAATAAAACCGATTCCTTATGATGTAACAAGCATTAATAAAACTAAATGCAAATGTTAAGACAGAGCACGATTTAGTTTATTTCATTGGCAAAAATTATTCAGCTCTTTAAATTACTGTTAAAAAAGAAAATAATCAATAAAATAAAATAATATACTTGAAATCAGAAAAATTTTGTTATTGCGAAACGTTTGGTTTTCTACAACACACATTTGATTTATACTTTCATTATTCTTTTTCAAATATATTTTTATAATTACGTTTTTAAATTACATTGATAAGTTTCAACTGTATATAAAGACTATAATTTATAAAATTGTTATCTTACTTAATTTAAAAAACGCTTTTTGGTTTTTTCAGGTGCTATATAATTAATCATTTTTTTCCCAATACTATTTAATTACAATACTATATCGTTGGATCTATTTGAAATAATAATAAAAAAAAAAAACTCTACAATACTCTTTTATTTCATAACACTAAATATCAAAATGTCAAAAAAATAAATGGTACTAAAATCTTTAATAAACCTTAGTTCGTGTCTTTAAAAGTTTATTAGGTAAATCAAATTTGTAATTTTTTATTGTCCGTTACGAATCATATTATACTAACCAACCGTTTATCCATTGAAGTTTTTTATTTACATAAGTAGCCGCGATGAGTTCCACGTTAAAATGATTAAAATCAATTCACGAATACTTCTACGAGTGTAACGTATAATCAGTTATGATAATAATAATTGAAACGAAATGCATTTACATGGGATGTGATTGTGGTGCGTAATCGGTATGTTAAGTGTTTGACAAATATTTACAACTAGAATTCAGATACCATCAATCAGATTAACAATAACCAAAACTATTGTCACTAGTTCCATGAATATTTTCAAAAAAACCTTAACGTGTCTTACGAACGATATAGTATTCGGGCCGCTCCCTTCTACTCGTGATGTACACTACACAACATTATGTTGCCGGCAGGTCTGTTCGCCGAAAGTCACATGCAGTACAACCTGTTGGCCAACAAGACGGTGGAACCAACCCTGGTGGAGATGACGGAGGCGGCCATCGAGGTGCTGTCGAAGGGCGACAAGGGTTTCTACCTGTTCGTGGAGGGCGGCCTCATCGATTGGGCGCACCACGACAACCTCGCGCACCTGGCCCTGGACGAGACAGTCATGTTGTCCAAGGCGGTGAGACGGGCCACGGAGATGACTTCCAGGGACGACACGCTGATCGTGGTCACGTCGGACCACTCGCACACCATGACGCTGAACGGTTACCCGCAACGCGGTAGCGACATACTCGGACACCCCAGGATAGCCAAACTGGACAAAATGCCGTACTCCACCCTGAGCTACGCGAACGGGCCTTCCGCGAGACCGACGGATCCGGCCACGGGGCAGCGGTATAACTTGACCAACGACAACACGTGTGAGTCACACTCTAACCGTCTAACCTTTGATTCGAACTCTCCAGGTAGGAACGCGTGACAATACCGTGAACGTGTTTTTTTTTTAGGACGTGAATCGTGTTATTCCGTCTTTTTGGCGCATCGTAGTTTTTTTTTTTTTTTTACAATTTGGTTATCGCCGATGAATTACATTAATGCAGACAGAAATCGCGACGGACATTCCCATATCGTTGTAAAAAACAAAACCTACGGATACAGTTGTCGAACGTGCGCAACCATTGCAATCGGTTTCGTAACGAAAGACCAGACTGCATTGGATAATACGAACAATACGTGTTTTCATACAGCGATAACTATATTTTTCACTACTAATCGAACCTAACCAAACCGACCGAGAACCGTCTGTTGTAAATTATAATCTTTGCACTTCGAAGTTCGATCGGGCTCCGGACGGGGTTTCAGCAGCGCGTGATTTAGGCGTGTATAAACATCGTACCTGCGTAATGCGCGCAGAGCAAGTAATCCGAAATTAGCATTTCGATCCTCGTGAGAGACGATTCCAGGCGGAGGAGGATCCTTTTAAAGCTTCAAACTTTGAGTTACGTTTCACTATACTACATGCACGCATATCAAGATTCCCGTCACCGGTAGAATAATATAATGTTAACGCGCGGAGTTATTCCGTACAATGTTAAGATGTTCGAATACCGTAATCGTTGTATACCGTACAAAGTCGTATGCAACAGTTTGATCCACTCAAAACCCTAATACTTCTATAGCAATGCGTCTTAACTCCGTATTATCGTTTGTTATAGAGGCACTAATCATGGTGATAATAATAATAATAATAATGATAACAGCAACGATGATGCTACAATTATAATAGCACTATTATAATAGTTTTTTTTTTTTAAACTCCATTTTAGCAGCTTTTACGTAATAAATAAACGTTGAATTTGTAGCATAGTTACAAATGTTCCTTAGTCACGAGTATGATAGGAACTTTCAATGAACATACATAATTCAGTCTCTCTGCGCTTATGTTGACCTAGAACGGTTTGAACGTTTGCCACTGATCTCAAACCAATTATCAAGAAGTTTATTTCGGTGAAAATATTTAAATTACTAAATTAAAAATGTCGATAACGGACCAGACGGGAACATAGACGTCTTGATCAATACTCATACCAACTCCTCTATCCTTCCCCCGTGTAAAGCGAACCGAAGTTCACCGAACATTTTTTTTTTTTTTTTTAGCCGACCCCACTTATAGGTTTCCTTCATTGGTAAAACTGGTATGGGAAACGCACGGTGGAGACGACGTAGGGGTGTTCGCCGTAGGGCCGTGGTCTCACCTGTTCGTCGGCAACTACGAACAGAACTTCATACCGCACGCCATCAGCTACGCGGCTCAAATGGGACCGAACGAACATCGTGTGGACGCCTCTAACCAGCCGTCGTCGGCATCCAAGGACTTCACATTCTTCTCAATCGCGTTACTTGCCTTCTGCTCTATCGTTTTACATCTGAGCCGGTAACGATACACGTAGCAAATACTCTTCCGGTCTGACAGCGATTCCGTACACTCATCACGATCCGTGCGATTCGGTGTCGGCGATTTTGTAAATTATTAATTATTAAAAACTTTTAGATCTTAAGGTGTGTGTTCTGAATCTGTTTTACCCATATCACGGAATTCGTCAAGTCACAGTCGCCACAGTCGTCCCGAGCAAAATAACATCGATCGTAATAATTACTAATCGTGTTTACCAAAATAACATTTATTGCTTAACACAATTTGTTACCCGTATTGTTCTACATCCGAGAGTAATTTATTACAGTTTCTGCAAAAAACGATTTGTAAGTGAATTAAACCGGACGTATTTGTATTTATTGCACGAAGTATATATGTGCATATAAATATTAAATGTATTAACGACCATTTAGATCGGTTAAAGGTTGAAAGGACGTGTTTTTGTTTTTCTATTAAATTTTCAGTTTAATCAAAAAAAAAAAAAAAAGCTATCCATAGATAATTTTAAGCAAACTGGTATAAAACTTTTATTATTTTTATTGTATATTTATATACATCAAATGATTTCGTGTAATAGTTAATGAATTGCACGCGAACGAAAAAATGAAAACTGCTGATTATAGTCTGTTATACAAATTATGTTATATACACACACACACATATATATATATATCCGAATCCGGTACAATTACAATCACGGGACAGAAGAGAACAACTATGTAAATTATTTGTATGACAGTTATAAGATTAGAATCGTCGCGTGTGAACGTTCTTTATGAGAACATAAGTCATCGTATAATTTTACGTAATTACTTATCAAATACAGTACGGATATGAATCTCGGGATGAGAAATAAAAAAAAAAAAAGGAGGGCGCCTATTTATAGTGAAAAATGCAATGTGTGAAGTATTTAGTTTGAATATTTTGTGTTACGATCAAAGGCCGATATTTGAAAATAGTAAAAATAATTCAAAAAATTATTTTTACCATTATATATTTATTTTTATTTTTAATTTATCAAAATGAAAAGAACATTTACACAATAACCATAAGAAACTCCTACGTTCCCACAGGAAATTCGAGAATTATCTCCAAAACCCTCTGATCTGTATATGCCATTGCGAACACGTCTTTTGCCACATGAAAAAAAAAAAACTCATCGCTACAGCAAAAAATAGTTATACCTGTATTATCACTTCCTTGGCGGTATTTCGCTTCCGAACAAATTTCGTAAGTATTAAACAGAAAATGAAAATGAAAAAAAAAAAATGAAAATAGTAACTCAAAGGGTTGTAATGTTTTGTTATAATTGACGTTTTTTGTTTGGGCCATACAAAGTTCTCTCGAATGCGGTTTAATTTGGACCTTTACTTCCCTCTGCTTGTGGGTTCTGTTGAAATGGAATTTCTGCGATTTTCCATTTGTACTTCTCTGTGGCATGCGTGTATATATACAGTAGACGTCCCTCTCGGACACGGATATACGGTCTTCAGACGAGAGTTAAAGGCAAGGGAGTGATGACGGGGAGAGTTTACAGAGCAAGGTTTCCGGGGCGGGGACGCGGAGAGACGACGCCCCGAGAAAACCAAAAAGTCTGTCTGTCTTCGTACATACACAATACAATATGTAACACGCTTAACACACACACACACACACACGCACGCTTGCACATTTGTGTTCATATGTACACGCATAACCGACTGCTAAGAGTGTGTGTACACTGCTCGCAATTTAGGGTGAAACGTGCCGAACAAAACACCGTTCGCAGACGTTGGCCACGTCGCGTACGACAAGCGCCCGCGTTTGTGCATAATGAATTCCGGTCGGTTGGTCGGCAATTAAAATTGAAATTCTATCCTTTACTGAACACTGTGTTCGCGCAATAATACTACGACGTGTTCACCAGACCGTGGTAACGTGTTACCAGTTCCGTGTACAGCAGTCTTTGTGTCCGATTGCATTCAAAACCGTCTTGGGTTGGTTATTAAATATCGTCACGAAACACGACGTCCTGGCCAAATGACCATTCGACTGTTGCGAGTTTTTTTTTTTTTTGAAAAATCGCGTTTCCGGCGTACGGGGGTTGTTTTTGTATTTCTTTCGTCTGGGGGAAAAATCTCAGACGTGAGTGCGAATCGTACCAACTTTTCCCCGCCGTCGTGACGCGTGTGCTCCGCGCAACATCGCTGTAATTACGTATGCAAATACAACCATGTAAAGTGTCAATTATAAGCGTCTAAAACAAGACGGGAACATAATATATAAACCCACTTTTTGGAGAAGAAACTGTTTTTAATCGTATTACACACGCGTATTATTATTGCCTATACGCACGGGCGTATTTGTCACAAAAAGTTACGTGTACGACGTATGCGTATGTGTATGCGTACAAACGTATAGCTCGTACGTATGTGTGTACGTCGACGGTTTTTGTGGTTGACGAAGTTTTCGCGTATTCGTCGTCGAGCGTGACAGACACCGATAGACTTGCTTATGAGACAGAAGAGATTGGTGTGCGCGGAATACATTTTACTTATACGCGTACTTAATTGTACCTAGACGACCAATGAGGTATACATGTGAAAAACAAGGACGAAGGATTTCACTAACACGTAATTTAATAGAAACTCGTATTTCACGCAATGGAACGCTATAAACAGCACGTACAATTATTGTAATTTGATGTTATTCCGGGTTGCACACATATCAAGAAAACACGAAAAACATGTACTCAACTTTTACCAACACCAACGGGACGATCTACAACATTTTTAAAAACAGAAACATTGCGAAAATCGGATGCTGCGATGAGGAACCACCGTCACAATAGCCCCTCCATGCGGGAAGACGACGACTAAGTGAATTTTCAAAGTTTCGCATCACCGGTACCGACGGACAATTACACGTTATCGTCGGACATGCCGTTTGTTATATTATGTAATATTATCTGCAAAGTGGTTAGAAAACTACCAAAAAGTCACACTCGTTTCACTTATTATTATGTTACCTATACCCGTAGGCGGTCGTGCACGCGATATTTTGGTGTTGCTAAACGGTATGGGTGTCGGTGATCTGCAGCGGGGTGGACGGTTGAATTTCGGAAAATATTATTTTTTCGAGAACGGCAAAAAAAAAATGAACACCGTGAAGTCGACGGAAACACCGTTAATTACGAAAAATTAATATTGTTTTTGCTCGTGCGCTGCAGTGGTAAAGTATACATACACTTCGCAAAGGATACGTAGGTGGTGGCGGTGGCGGAGAGGAAGACGTACGTACGGAAAACATACCAGAGAAGGACCTCGTGGCAAGCAATCATTCGAGGACAAAAAATTTAAATTGAAAATAAACGATAATATTGTTTAACCGTTTAATTCGATGTCGGTGTTCGTGGATTAATCAGATTATAAGAGAATAAAAAGGAAACAACCGTCGACTCTACGTAGATCGCCAAAATTATTATATTGAAAACGTATTAGAAAAAAAACTTGCTCAATTGGTACAAGTATAATATAATGTGTACACTCCGGGCGGTGGTGGAGCATCATTGACAAAGGGATTTCGCCAATTTCGTTCAAAAGGATTTCAAATTGAATTTAAACCACATTTCTACACTCGCATACATATACACATACACAGATGCATGAAAGTACTACACTTAAGTTATTTACGTATATATATATATATATATACGGTTGAGTTTCGTTCAGAAACTAGACGATCTACTCAAAGGCTCTCTCATACACACACAGACACACACACACACACACACACACACACACATTCGCGTATATGTACACGACCGATGGTATATACGTATAATGTATATATTTCCGTATCGCTGCCATTACTACGGAGCCGCATCAAATGAAACGTGCTTATATTCATTCATATAGTACCGTGGAGATAATATGACGTGTGCGGGTCGTCAATAAATGGCTGTACGTTAGGAGTTTGTTTTCGTTATAATATTATTTAATCCCAGTCGTACGTAGTTCTTGACTTGGTAAAATTAAAGAAGGGGACTCTGTCTGCCTAAAAAAAAAAAAAAGAGCTTCCCCAAAACTTGTTAAGTGTTATAACTATAACGTCATAATAGAATGGGGACACCAAAATTTCTGAAAATTAGGATATTCCGTCCTCTTGTGTCCCCCTCAAGTCGAGCACTAGTCGTGCGCGGAAGGTGTGATCGTTCATTGGTATTTCGTTTACGGGCCACGGATTAAAGCGTCGTGAACAGCATTGATTAAAAACATGTTTTGTTTATTTTCCCCAGTACAACAATATACAGAAGAAGGTATAAAAAAAATAATCGTGTTCATTTCCGTGTCATCGGAGTAAATCTGACGGTTGTTGTGGCGAGTTGAGTTCACAAAAGATTAACGATGAATACATAAAAACGCATTACGTTTAACTGTGCAGGGTACGTTCCCAGGCTACAGGCATTACCAAACGTACAATGTTACGTTTAAGGCCCTGAATAATTTATAACGAATTCACAGGATTGCAACGGACGTGGTTTACTCATATTAAGATCAGTATGAGCAATATTAACAATTAAAATGTTGGCATTTGTTAAGGTTTAAGATTAAATGTTGAAAAACTATTGTGGTATTCCTCGTATCTTATACCATTGTTATCCACAGAAACGCAACACCACGGATGATGTGGTGGATATAGTTGAGTGAAGATCGTTTCTTGTTGGAGTATATAATATTTTTGGTCGTTTTGTTTTCATTTAGTTTAGTTCCATACAGTAGTAATATTTTATTCGACGGAAAATTATTTCATAGATACGGTTTTTTTTTTTCGCCATTTTTTTCATTATATTCAATATCCATTTTTTTTTTTTTACATCGCTCAAAAAGACTAAAATCACTTTTACATAATGAAATGCGTATTTTCCTGTCGTCAAAGTAATTTAAAACAAGTATATTCCATGAATTGCAATCGTCATATTAATTTATGCAGAATTAAACTAAAAGGGCAAAGTAAAATCTCGAATAATTTTTTGATCAAAACCAATGTAGACATAAAGGTTAGTAATTAAATTGTATTTTTTTTTTTTACTTTGACATAAAATCCAATAACTTTGAATTCTTTGATTGGTAAATAAATCGTTTT